CTATATTATGATTACTTCATTAGGGATATTGATTGCCTTTCCTTCTGCAAAATATCATGCTATAACAGTTATGATACTATGCTGATTAAATCTAGTGAGAAAAAAGTAACTACATTAGCCAGGCATGGTGGTACCTATCTATAATCCTAGCACTTGGAAGGCTGAGGCAGGAGGACTGTTACAAGTTCAAGGCCAGCCTTAACTACAAAGTAAGACCCTCTTTCAAAATGCTAAAAATCAAAACAATAAAAACAAAGCAAAAAAAAAAAAAACCAAAAACAAAAACAAAAAAAGCTGAGCATGCTGTCACATGGCTGTAATCCCAGCACTTCAGAGGCTAAAGCAGAAAGATTGCCATAAATTTGAGGCCAGCCTAAACTACATAGTGAGTTTAAGGCCAGCCTGAACTACAGAGTGAAACCCTGTCTCAACAAAAAAAAACAAAAACAAAATGAAATACCAAAACAAGAACAACAACAAACAAAACTCAAAAAAGGAATTACTCTAAACTTATTGGTATGGCGTTTGCATGGCAGAAGGTAGGGAAAATATCTGACAAAAATTCAGGGGCCTTGTATCTCAATTTCTAGGGGTTCTCCTAATCTGAGGCATGTTGAGATGTTCCTTTTAAAATAAAGGATAAATTGTTGTATGTGGTTCTTCTTTCTACAACCAAAAAAGGGCACAATTCCTAGTGGGTCTGTTTGGAAGTAATATACTCCTAACTTGCAATGTATTATACTAGGAAACACATCTGGACACTTGCTAAATGAACTCCATATTCCTCTAAAGCAATAAGCAAAGAAGGGAATTAATATGCTGGTTGGGGTGATTGATCCTGACTAAAAGTGGGAAATCTAACTACTCAAAGTAGGAAGTAAGGACATCTAGAATACAGACAGTTCCTGTTAGCACCTCTTGATATTATCATGCTTTGTAATGGAGGTTTACTTTGTGACTGAGGTCCAAGGTAGGTCTACTAAGGAGCCAGACCTTCAAGAATGAAGATCGAATCACTTTACCAAGTAAAGAACCATGAGCATCTGAGCTCTTTTCTGAAGTCAAAAGGTATACAAAAGGGTAGAGGAACAGGTAGTTACGAATATGACCATGTGGACAGTTATAGAAATGAGAACTGTAGCTATCATGAGTACTCCTCTTTATTTTGTAATAAATATGTATGTATGTATATATGCACTCATCTATCTCATAGAGATGTACACATGTATTATATTAAGCACATATCTTTGTTTTCCTCTCATATTCCTTTATCATATAATGTAAGATGTATTGATTTACCATGCTATTAGTAGTACCTTTAATTTCACATCAGTATTATACCAAGGAAAAGAAATATCAGTCAAGGACTTTTTCTCCTCTTTGAGGAAAAGGAGTTAGTGCCCTATTGATTGTATGCAGGATAACTGTATCAAATTAGACAGAATTATGGCCTTGTTGCCTTTATTTGGAGATTGAGTGTTTCAGGAGATACGTGTGAATGCCAAGTTAACAAGTAGATTTGTAATGGCTAATTTTATGTATCAACTTAATTGGGACAGGCATTGGCTTCTCAGCCTTTTGGCTAAGATCAAGTAAGATCAAGTATAGCTGGGACAGAAAGTACACAGATAATTGGTTAAACATTATTCTGGGTACATTTTCAGGAATGCTTCTGGATAAAATCAACATCTGAATCAGTAGACTGAGTAAAGCAGATTTCTCTTCCGAATGTGTGTGTTTGTGTGGGAGTTCTTATTCATCCACTGAAAGTCTGAACAGAACAAAAGTGGGTAGGGGAGAGAACTCTGCCTCTTCTAAGCTGGAAGATGGGCCTTTTGCACCAGGACTAGAAGATACCCTACTGATTTTCCTAGTCCTCAGGTCATTGCATTTGGACTGAAACTTAAATCACTGATTCTACCATTTCTCAAACCTTTGAACTCATACTTAGAACAATACCATCAACTCTCTAGGGTCTCCAGCTTGCAGATACTACAGATTATAGAACTTCTCAGCCTCTATAACTGCACAAGCCAAATCATTATATTTCTTTCACACACATACACACACACATACATACACATACAGATGGATTTTTTGTATTATATTTAAGAAATTTTTGACAAACTCATGATTACTAAAAGCTTCTGTTTTCTATTACAGCGATCTACGTATGATCCACTTTATTTATGCTTTGTTTCTTGACACAAAGTCTCACAGTGTAGCACAGGCTGCTCTTGAACTCATTATGTAGCATACACTGGCTTCAAACTTGTGGCAATCCCTCTGTCTCGGCCACCCAAGTACTAGGATTACAGGTGTGTGCCATCACACCCAAGTGTATATGATTTGTTTGAACATTCTGAGATAATTTTTATACATATTGTGTGGTAACAGCAAGGTGGTTTTACATATTCTGAATATGCACTTTGACTGGGTTGTGTTGAATCTTATGTATTGGTTTGAGAAGATATGACATGTCGATTATTGACTATTACAATCCCTGAACAAGATAATCTCTCCATGTTCTTTGGCCATTAATTTCCACAGCGTTTCAGAGTTTTCAGTTTTATATGTTTCTTCTCAAATTTACTCGTAGTTGTTTCACATTTTGAAGTTATTTACAATAACTTAACTTACAAAATAACTTACAAAAATTTCAATCTGATAGTTTTGACAGTACATATAAATACAACTGAATTTTGCATATTGATCTTTCTTCTTGTAAGCTTGCCAAACTCAATTATTAGATCTAGTAGGGGTTTTTGGTAGACTACATAATTTTTTTTATATAAACGTGGTAGGGCTGGGGATTTAGCTCAATGGCACAAGCTCCTGCCTGGCAAGTGCAAGGTCAGGAGTTTGATCCCCAGTTTAAAAAAATGATGTTATTTACAAAAAGACAATTTTAATTCTTTACTTTTTTTTTTTTTTTTTTTGGATAAGGTCTCTCTGTGTAGTTCAAGCTGGCCTTGAATTATGTAGCCTAGGCTGGTTTCAAACTCATGGCAATCCTCCTGAGTGCTGGTTTTCAAGCATGCACCACCACGTCTGGCCTTTATTTTCTATTTCATTTTCTTCTCTATTGTACCAATTAGAATCTTGAATACAATGCTGAATATTTGTTGAGAGCAGATATCTGTTTAACATTCTACTTCTTTTTTTTTTTGTTCTTTCTCGTTTTTTATCAGTACCAGGGATAGAACTCATGACCGCCTGCTTACAAGGCAGGCATTTATGCTGCTGAGCTAAATCCCCAGCCCCCATTTTTTTTTTTTTTAAGACAGGGTCTTGTTAAATTGTCCAGCCTGACCTTGAACTTGCAGTCCACCTTTCTCAGCCTGCCAAGTATCTGGGATTATAGACATGTGCTACTTTATTTGTTCACCTTTCATTTATTTATTTTTTTCTGTAGCACTGGGGGTTGAATTCCAAGTGCTCCATTATTGAGTTATAGCCCTGTCCTTTTTATTCATTATTTTTGTGGTATTGGATTAAATTCAGGACCTTGTATATGCTAGGCATGTGCTCTATGACTGCATTCCTAGCCATAGATTCTAATTGCATTCTGCAAAGCTACATATTATTTTGATTGTCCCACTACTGGTAATGTTAACTTTGATCTATCAATTATAGCAATGTCTGACAGCTTTTTCTACAGTAAAATTATTTGGCTATTTTGTGGTGTTAGGGATTAAAGCCAGAGCCTTGCACATGCTAGTCAAATGTTCTACTGCTGAGCTATATCCCTAGCCTCTAAAATTATTTTTTTCCTTTGTAACTAATAAGTATTTTATGGGAAAGTACTTTGAGACTATGGATAGGTCCTGTTCTGTATCATATTTCTGCCTACTAGGTTTAGAATTTGTTGATATTTTGTGGTGTATTACTATGTACTACTATGATGAATAAAGTGATATATTCTAATTCTATCTTTCCTTCTACAATTGTCATTTTAGAGAGAAAAACCTTATCTTCTTCCAGTTATTTATTACATCCAGAAAGACTCATGCATTCCTGTTATATGGAGTGAATTAAAAACACTTATTTTCATTATTTCATTGGGTATTAAAATTGTCCCAAATTTGGCCAGTGAGATCCCCTTCAAGTTGACTCCAACATCCTTTCACTTGTCCCTATAATTTTTTGAGCACTTGCATACTTCCTGGCACAAGTAGACATTACAGGTACATACTGGTTTTTTGAGATAGGGTCTCACTGTGTAATTCAGGCTGGCCTAGACCTCAGTGGATAGCCCAGGTTGGCCTCAAACTTAAGGTGATCCTCCTGCCTTTGCCTCTTGAATGCTGCTTGGATTATAGGCATGCAACACCATGCCTGGTTATAGGTATATGAGTTTTCTGGCGCAATGAACAAGCAAAAGTACAAAAAGAACAGGTTTATTGAAATGAGGACATGGGAAGGAGCACACAACCCATGGCAGCTGCGCTGTCTCCTTCCACGGGAATATGGGGTGGGGTGGGACATATGTAACCTTTGAGTGGGGGGGATGTGCTTAGGGCAGGGCACTGCTGATGCGCTAGGAGCTGATTGGGATTTTCTTCCTGCACAAACAAGAAGGGGAGTTGCAATTAAGGCTGAGGAAGAAGCAGGAAGTGGTAAGCATTCCTGCTTTGTTTTGGCCTTCTGCCATGTTAGACCACTACCATAATCGTACAGTAATTTATTCTAGGGAAAAACTCTTTCAGTACATACTGTATTTCCCTCCCCAGCTGGAATTGGCCTTCTCTAAGAAGCAGTGGCTCTTTTTAACAGAGCATGGTATTTGGAACCCACACCAAGTATGAGTAATACTAACAAAAAATCACAATTCCAAGTCCCCTAACTGAACAGAATTCAAGACAGATAATATGCATTTATACACATTTTTATACACTACATAATTCCATATCATATATATGTCATTATTACATTGGCCCCTCTCAATTCTTTTACCCAAAGTTATCAGGTTCATTGTAATTTTTTTTTTTTCTCCACAGTTGAGACCTTCATCTGGCAAGGAGAAATTTGGGCTGCTTTATCTTCAATATATTTTTTGATCATTCCTCCAAGTAAAGAATCTCCTATTGCTACTACTGCCACCTCTCAATCAGCTGCAAATGCCCTTCCTGAACCTGCGTGATCTCTGCCCATGCAGCTTCTCCCACTGAGCCTGGCTGCACTGCACTGAGAACCATCTTTGTCTTCCTCAACCTCCAAACCCTCACACTGGACCCCTTTTGCTTCTTATGTTAGTAGATTTCTAGGAAGAGGTTTGTTAGTTTGAGTCCTGGGGACTGAACCCAGACCTTCACACTGAGCTATAACCCCAGTCCTTTTAAAAATTTTTTTTGAGACAGGGTCTTGCTAAGTTGCTCAAATAGAACTCAGACTTAGGATCCTGCCTCAGCCTCAAGAGAGCTGGTTTACAGGTATGTGCCACCAAGCTAGCTCCTGATAGCTTGCTTCCTTAAAATAAATTCTTTTCACTTTTTTTTTTTTTTTTTTTTGTCTTTTTGAGACAGGGTCTCTCTATGCAGTTCAGGCTGACTTTGAGCTTACTTTGTAGCCCAGGCTGGAAATGATCCTCCTGCCTCGGCCTCCTGAGTGCTGGGATTACAGGTGTGAGCCATCAAGCCTGGTTTACTCTTTTCACTTTTTTTTTTTTGTCTTTTTTGTTTTTACCGGTACCAGGGGTCGAACTCACGACTGCCTGCTTGCAAGGCAGGCGCTTATGCTGCTGAGCTAAATCCCCAGCCCCTCTTTTCACTTTTGAGACAGGGTTTCGCTGTATAGCCCAGACTGGCCTCAAGCTCATAGCAGTTCTCTTTGCTTAACCTTTCAAGTGCTGGAATTGCAAATGTGTGCTACTATGACCAGCTTGGATAGTTTTTAAGTGACTTATTTAGGAAAGAATGAAGAAAAGGAGAAAGGGAGGAAAGGAGAGAAAAAGGGAAGGATTAGGGAACTACAAAGTAGTTGTCTCCAAACAACAAAACAGGAATGTTGGGTGTGATGGCACACTCCTGTATTTTCAGCACTCGGAAGGCTGAGACAAGAGGATCACAAGAGTATTGCTGTGAAATTAAGGTCAGCCTGAAATACATAGGGAGCCTACAGTCCAAAAAGCCAAAAACAAAAAGTCACCAAAACAAAAACAAAAAACCCACAAAACCAAAACAAAAACCAGCCAACAAAACAAAAACCCCTCAATAACAACAAGAAGTCAGGATTTTTAAAAAATATTTATTTTTTTGCAGTACTGAGGATTGAACCCAGGGCCTCTTGTATGCTAGACAAGTGTTCTACCAGCAGGCTACCTCAAGCCCTTTATATTTTATTTATTTATTTAAAGACAGGGTCTATGTAGTGCAGGCTATCCTTGAAATTGCTTATGTAGCCCAGGCTGGCTTTACACTTACAGAAGTTCTCCTGCCTCTGTCTTGCTAGGATTATAGACATGTGCCATCATGCCTGCCCACTTTTAAGTTTTTAAAATTTCAAGACAGGTCTTGTTCAGTTCCCCAACCTGGTCTTGACTTGTGATCCTCCTGCTTCAGCTGCCTGCATGAGCTACAGTCTTAATTCTTTCATATTTTTTAAGTTTTGTTGCAAAGTCTTGCTAAATTGCCCTGACTGGGTTTGAATTTACAATCTTGACTCAGCTTCTCAGAGTGCTGGGATTACAGGCCTGCACTACCACATCTGACTCATACAAAATTTTTTAGGCCACCTCTTTGAATGAGATTCATCACATGAGGTCAGGTGTGTATTTTCCACTGTGGCATCATGCTGGTGCTCAACAAATTTTGGATTTTTGGGTATTTCAGATTAGGGGAGCTCAACCTATACTTATGATAGAGGAAGTGATATAATGAACATATGTACAACCACACAGAAGGTACAAACAAACTTTAGAGGGATTGACAGACTTTTTTATTTTTGGCAACATGGAATATTAAACCAAGGGCCTCATACTTTCCAGGCAAGTGTTCTATCACTGAGCTACACTCTCAGTCCTTTTTATTTTATTTTTTTAATGTGGAGATAAAGTCTTGATAAGTTACCCAGACTGGTCTAGAATTTGCAATTTTGACTCAGCCTCTTGAATAGCTGCGATTATAAGCATGTTCCATCATACCTGGCTAAAATTAGGCTTTTTGTTTGTTTTTTTGAGATAGGGTTTCAATATGTAATTCAGGCTGACTTTGAACTTCTCATCTTCTTGCCTTAGCCTAATAAAGTCTGATTGAACTGTTTTAATGAGTAAATATGAGATTTGGAGTGGAAAAGATTAAGATTCTTTTATTTTTTTTCCTTTTCTCTTTTGGTCTCCGGACTCAAATTCATGGTCTCATGCTTGCTAGGCAGATGCTGTACCACTGAGCTACCTCCCAGCCCACCTTTTTTTTTTTTTATTACTGTGGATCAAATTCAGGACCTTGCACATGCTAAGCAGGTATTCTACCATTGAGCTATACTCCCAAACCCAGCATTATGCATTTTGATGAAAAAACTTTTTTTTTTTGGTCTTTTTCCTTTTTATCGGTACCAGGGATCAAACTCACGACTGCCTGCTTGCAAGGCAGGCGCTTATGCCGCTGAGCTAAATCTCCAGCCCCGATGAAAAAACATTTAATATCCTTAATCCCTTTGCTAAATATTTACTAAGAATCTATATTATGCCAGATACTATGCTGTATGCTAGGAAGGTATGAGCTTCCCCCTACTTTTTTTTTTTTTTTTGGTGAGTCAAGAGCTTTACTATATAATCCATGGTAGTCTTGAATTTATAATTCTCCTGCCTTAATCTCCCAAGTGCTAACATTAAAAGTGCATACTATCAGCCTGGCTAATGGTTGGGCTATCACAAGTGGGAGCACTAAGTAGAAGAATGCAATAAAGTGTTCTGAGTTTGTATCTGTTCTTTTTTTTGGTTCTGAGGACTGAACCCAAGGTCTCTTGCCTGCTATCCAAGTGGCTTACCACTAAGTGACACCTCTGAACCCCGTGTGTATCCATTCTGAACCAAATGGCCATAAAAAATACTGGAGCTTTCTCTTTACTTTTTTGAATCTTTCACTCTAGAAGAGGCTAGATACCATATAGTGAGGATACTGAAAGCAAAATTGAAAGCAAAATTCCCTCTGGATTTAGAATCAAATCAGAATTCCTCACAATGCCTACATCTAATGCCTTATGGGGAGGCCCATGTGATAAGGAACTGAGGCTTCCTGCCAAAAACCATGTGAATGAGACATCTTAGAATTCAATTCTTGAACCCCAATTCATCAGTGAGTTGAGCTGTAACTCTGACCAACATCTTGTTTGCAACTTCATGAGGAGTCATAAGCCAAAACCAACTAGTTAAGCCACTCTCAAATTCCTTCCTCACATAAATATTTATTTCTATCTCTACGTATGTGGTAGTGGGTTACATAATTAGAGATAATCTATAGCATCACGTGTAGACATGGTGAAGAATTCTGATTTTATTTTATTTTTTGTCTTTTTGAGACAGGATCTCTCTATGCAGTTCAGGCTGGCTTTGGGCTCACTTTCAGGCTGGTCTTAAACTTGCAGCACCCTCCTCCCTGCCTTGGCCTCCTAAATGCTGGGATCACAGGAGTATGCTACCATGCCCATCTTCTGCTTTGAATCTAAATGCAGTGGGAGACTTTTTTTTGGTGCCAGGAATCAAACTCAGGGCCTTGTACTTGCCAGGCAGGTGCTGTGCTGCTGAGCTACATTCCCAGCCCTATGGTTTTAATCAGAAGACTACCAGGACCACAATTTTGCCTTCAGTAATTACACTAAGGAGTAGGCATGAATGGAAGGAGGCAGATCAGTTAGGAGCCTGTTGTAGTAGTTCCAGTAAGAGAGATTATGGTAACTTGGAGTAGGGTGGCGACAGTGAAGATAGATGAGTGAAGGAAGTAGAAAGATCAAGGATGAACTCTGGGTTTTGTTTGAATAGCTGAAGTGAGGATAGCTGTAAAAAGAACAGACTGGGAGACCTGATGGAGGAAAGCAAGACCTAAAATAAGTGTAATGTGTTTGAGGAAACTGCAAACAGGCCAGTAGAGTTAGATTTTATGGTGGCTGGACAGAAGAGAAAGCAGGCTGAAAAGAGAAGCATGAAAGAAAGATCTTGTGATACTCTGGTTTCTCTTTAAAAAGAAAGCTCTTGTTTCTCACCAAAAGGTGCCTGAACTTTGGGGTCCATTTAGCCCCTAGAAGTAATTAAGAGCTTTTAAGTAGGTAGATAATGCACATTTTAGAAAAATAACTAGTAGTAGTAATAATAGAGTTTGGATTAAAGAAGAGAGATATTGGAAGCTAAAGACATTTTTTTTTTTTTGGTAGTTTTCCTTTTTATCGGTACCAGGGATTGAACCCATGACTGCCTGCTTGCAAGGCAGGCGCTTATGCCGCTGAGCTAAATCCCCAGCCCCCAAAGACATTTTTGAGTAATTTGGTTTTTAGCAGGGAGCACAGTACAGTAGAAAAGAGCATAAAATGGTTTTAGAGAAGAAAGAAACCAAGTTCAAATTTTGGAACAGCAAGTTCTCAATTGAATTGTGTTCCATCCAAATTCCTGAGTTGAAGTGCTAATCCCTTTAACCTCAGGATGTGACCTTGTTTGGAAATGGAATCATTGCCGATGTAATTAGTTAAGATGTCATACTTAAGTAGGGTGGACCCCTAATTCATGACTAGTGTCCTTATAAAAAGGGGAAATTTGGATGCAAACACGTACAGAGACAATGCCATATGAAGATGAAGGAATAGATCTATAAGCCAAGGAATACCAAAGATTGCCAGCAAAACACTAGAAGCTAGGGGACAGGTATGGAATACATTATTCCTCACAATGCTTAGAAGGAACCAACCCTGCTCACAGTTTGATCTCTGACTGATGACTTCCAGAATCAAGACAATACCTTTCTGTTGTTAAGGCAACTCAGTTTATGGTACTTTGTTATGGCAGTCCTGGCAAACTAAGTATCTTTTGTGGACCTCAGACAGATGACTCAATATTGCTAATTTGTGGTGTCCTAATCTGTAAAACAGGAGTGCTCATTGCATTAATGGAAATGAGAATTCACAGAGCACCTGCCATAAGCAAGCACCACAAAAATACATCTGTTAGATACCAATGTGTTTTGTTTTTGCTTGTTTGGTACTTGGGATTTAATCCAGGGACTTTACACTGTACAACATGCCTGACTCTTTCTTATTTTGAGACAGGGTTTTGCCTAGTTGCTAAGGTGCCCAGGCCAGGCTTGAAATTGAAGTCCTCCTGCCTTGGTCTCCAAGAGTGCTGACATTACAGGTGTGTACCACTGCAACCAGCTTGAGACAGCCAATGTTAACCAAGAAAAGTAAAGCACCTCTAGAGAGTTCTGGAGAGACTGCAACTATCAGGGTCATGTGTAATACAGCCTTAAGTCAAAGGATGGATAAAAGGACCTTGGAATCCCTTTAATTAGTAGAGGGGTGCCCTGGTATTGTGTGGCTGTTTGAAAATGTAGCTTCTTTTGGGATACTGCACTAGCATAAGAACTAAAATTGCCCTTGAAGGCAGGAAGATTGAAGCCAAGTAAACTAAAACTAGTGAAGGAAAGATAGGAAGGGAAGGAGGCAAACAAAGCTAGAAAACTAATGAGCCAGACACCTTAGGACTGCGGCTCCCAGCTCACTTCCTTAGGTAAAGAATTGAAGCTGGGGGTTGTCCTCTTCCCTGTTCCATAGGGAAACCCAAGAGAGGCCTCACCAGTCTCTGGAATGCTTAGTCCTTTCAGGCATGGAGTCTCTTGCCAAAGCAAACAATCCCTGCTCTACGATTGTGCTCTGGCTGGAGTACGGGAGAACAAAGATCCCTTTCTTTGCCTCCCCAACTCTATGGCTCCAGCCAAAGGTGCTGTTTACACAATCTTCCTAATGAAGAATTTGTTCCCTTTCTATGTTACAGCTGGGAAAGACTGGGTCTCTCCTTGCCTATTCCTCTTTCCCATGTCCATGTCAGGGAAAGGGGCCAGTACCAGATATTCCTACCTTTAAAGATGTCAGCACACTTAGGAGTAACTCCAGGGAGTAACACCCTTCTGAGATGTGACATGGAACCTCAGTTTTAGTGGCAGAAAGCCTGTCTGGCTGGAAAAGGGAGGGAGGTAGAGAGACCAGAAGTCTAGCTTCCCACTGTTCCAGTTCTGTTTATCCCATCCTCTCCCGTTTCTCAGGCTATCTCAAATCCATTTCCACAAGAGAATCAAACCATTAAATCCAGGACAGATTTGAATTCTTTGAAATGTAGGATGAAAATAGTGTTTTCTAGTGGGAAAAGATTTTCTTTAGATTTTTACTGCAGCTGTGCAGCTGTCTCCCCACACACCAAAAACAAAAGTAAGAGGGAGAAAACGAAGAGTGGTAGTCTAATTTTAATACTGGCAGAGAATCATAGTGTTAAGTTACTCCTGGTAAATTGGTAACTAAGAAACAGCAGAGATAATTTACACAATCTAGCTCTCCAACAAGTAATTTTAAAACCTAAATTTGGGCTGGGGTTGTAGTGTATTGCTAGAGCATATGCATAGCATGGGCAAGGTTCTGGGCTTAATCCCCAACACATGCACACATGCATGCATGGGTGCACGTGTGCACACACACATACATCTAATTCCACTTATTTCTATGACTAGAGGAAGGCAGATAGTCCTTTATCACAGCAAAGGAATTTTGTGCACAGGAAGTTAATCAAAAGTAAGTAACTTGAACCCAGAATTCTGGGGTTTTAAATCTGGTTAATTCTATAGAACCAATTTACTTTCAGAAAATCTTGAGTCCTTTGTACTACAGAGACTTTTTCGGGGCTCAACTTTTTCCCTACCTTAAATGCCTATTGACTGTTCTGTTAAGGAAGCTGTAGGCTAGCTATTTGTTACCCTCTGAAGCTCTGTTTTGGAAACCTGAAGTCTCTGCTCCAGCTATTGAAGATACAGAGGCAGAAGCTACAGGAGTAGACAGGGGCTCATGTCTGTTTAGGCTCAGAAATCATTCCGACACAGACTCCCCCACCCCAATCATCTGCTCAGCAAGATATGCAGACTTCCTTTCTCTAAAGGCAGCTAGCTACATGGTTCCTGGAAGGCTGTAATCCACAATGGTTAAAAATATCCAGCTCGGGGGCAGAGCTGAGCCAACTAACTACAGTCTGCCCAGAAACCCAGAAAATGAGCAGTGGGGTAAAATGAAACCAGGAGCAGGCAAAATGTTGCCTGCTTGCAAGATAATAGTAGGGGCAGTAAACAGAAGAAAAACAGACCAGTCACTTTCACTGAGATACCTTAGAAAGTGTCCAGATTTCTTTCCCTTTCCTCCAGTGACATCCTGGCCCCCAGGAGGTAGGGTGGCATAATCAGGGAGCTTTGGCCAAGGGTTTCTATTCTATCCTATTATTTCCTATCTAGATAATATGGAAAGCTGTCAAGTTTGTGTGTGTGTGTGTTGTTTTTAATACTGGGGATTGAATGTAGGGCCTTTCCATTGATCTATATCACCAGCCCTTTTTAAATTTTTATTTATTTTTTATTATTTTTTTAACTTTTTATGGTTCCGAGGATCAAACTCACGACCACCTGCTTGCAAGGCAGGTGCTTATGCCGCTGAGCTAAATCCCCAGCCCCCTAAATTTTTATTTTGAGACAGGGTTCACCAAGTAGCTAAATTGCCAGGCTGAGGTCAAATTTGTGACTCTCTTGCCTCAATCTTCCAGGGTTTTGAGATTACAAGAGTGTATCAGCGGAGCTGGGGGTTTAGCTCAGCGGCATAAGCACCTGCCTTGCAAGCAGGCGGTCATGAGTTAGATCCCCGGTACCAATAAAAATGAAAAAAGATTAAAAAAAAAAAAAAAAAGAG